TTCCCAAGTAAAGAGACTTGTTAAATAATGTGGCAAGAATAAACAGTGAGAACCTCAGACAAGTGAAATTTAAAAACATCTTTATAAATGCAAATATGAAAAAAAATGACATCACAGCATCTACACATCACAACAGATATGACCCTGTAAACAGTTCAGTCCAAACTAAAGTCTGTGTCACACTGCCCAATAAACACCAAAATCCAATGGTTTTTGGTTACTCCTGTTGGCGTTTTATCTGGCAGCGCAAACCAGCCTCACGTCATTCTATGACATACTGCTAAAATATACCATTTTGAAAAATAAATCTTTTGGAAGAATTTTCATAGACACACTCAAACAACGAAAAAAAAAAAAAAACAGTATTCTCATGCAGAATGTCACAGGACTCCCCTCACAGTGTTCTACCTCCTCAAAAAGCTTCTATGACAGTATCACAGGAGAGTGTATTCACATACAGTGAGAAATCAATCAATACGTCACACGGTTTTCCAACCGGATCTACAGTCACATTCATAACATGTGTCAAGGTGTGTGATGACTCGTATTAAAAATATTAAAGAGGTGGGATGTGTGGAAAATGTTATGGCAACAGAACCATACTGATAAATGTAATATAAAAGGCACTTCATTCTTCAACGCTCAGTGAAGACTAATAGTGAAGTATGATTACCAATAATTCTCTCCAATTCAATTACAATCTCACAGTTGATCATTTGTCTTAGCAATGGGAATTTTGATCAGTCTGGATTCCTGAGGGGAAGGAGCCAATGGCCCATACAGAGCCATCATGTTAAAAAAAGGCCACCACTAGATGGTGGATATGTGCTTCCCAATCAAAACAATCAACAGATATCTGATTTGAAAACAAAGTTGCATATTTCTTGTAATGCTGCATACTGTGATACTGTCCAGGTCTGAAAGTAAACATAGGCCACTCCTTTATGGTGTAAAGACATTTCCAAATTATTAAATTACATCAGAGATCAAATATATGATATTGTACGAACACTAACCAAGAAGATTCAGAAAGGTCGTATTCAACACTGCACAACACAAAACAGACTCACCCGGTCAATGAGGTGACCAAACACCTAACAGTTGAATATACAGGTGTGGAGTTATCTGTAACACCTACTGTACCATTTGAAACAGTAAATCAACATTGCACATAAGATCATTAGGACACAGTAAAAAGCCAAAAATTAAACATGTTATCACTGTAATTGTCACAGCTGTGCATTAAACTGAGAAAATAAAAAGGGTTCTGTCAAGACATTGAAAAACAACTGGTAAATGGTTCAGTTTCTGTTTAAAAATGGCACTCACATATTCATAAGACTTTTTACATTCAACGCTACCAGGGATATTTCACCCAAAATGAAAAATCTGTCATAATTTACTCACCCTGAAGTTGGTGATACAAAAACATACTATGGAAGTCAATGGGGCCCATCAACTGTTTGGTAAGCCATATTCTTCAAAATATCATCTTTTGTGTTCAACAGAAAAAAAGAAATACAACTTGAGGGAGAATAAATGATGACAGAATTTTTCATTTTCAGGTGAACTGTCCCTTTAAAGAACATCATATCACTGTTAAACAACAGATTAGTAGTTGGTAAATGCTTGATAAGAAAAAAACAAATAAACCGAGAGATCGAGAGTAATGCACAATTAATGTGCCCGTTAAATGTCATCTCTAACATAGAGTGCCAGGCTGGATACGCATCGGAATGCCACACACACAGAATACCCCAAAACGCATAAAAAAAGGAAACAAACGCGTAAAGCGTCATCAAAAATATATTCAGTATTCATAAATTATGAATTTTAATCAAATTAAAGTCATTCAAAAATAAAATATTGCAGAAATAAAGTGATGCATTAAAATGACGATTAATAAGCATTTGTGGAATTAAAAAAATTAAATACGAGAAAGAAATTATAAAAAAAAAAAAAATCAGTGCTTCAAGTAAGCCTGTCTCTACATGTATGATTTATAAAATCAGATTCATGAAGTGAAGATGGGAGTGTCTAGGCCACTGGACATAACAGAGAATATTCCACTGATCTTTTTAATCAATAAATAATACAAATAACTTTCCATAACTGCCATAAGATAAGAATGCCACCTCACAGCTGTTAAAAGAATAGTTCACGCCAAAATGAAAATTCTGCCATCATTTTCTCACCCTCATGTTGATCCAAACCTGGGATTTTATTCTATGTTCTACAGAAAGTATTTTGAGACAGTTTCAGTGTTTTTTGTCCATACAAGGGAAGTCAATGGTAACCAAACTGGTTTAGATGGTCCAACATTCTTCTTTTTGTGTGTGTGTGTGTGTGTGTGTGTGTGTGTTCTGCAGAAGAAAGTCAGTCATTTAGGTTTGGAACAACATCAGGGTGAGTAAATCATTTTGGGGTGGACTATCCCTTTAAGGGCCCTCTCCATTTCAGCCCTGCTGTACCAGCCTGCGATAGTGAGGCATGACCTTGCTGTCCGGGAGTAGAGTGCCATCTCCAAGGCAACCAGAACCGTGAACTCCAGGGAAATCAACTCTTTGCGATTTATCCGGAAAACGCTCCTCCAACCTCTATTCAGAGTGAGGCAGATCAATGGGTAGGGCAAAAAAGAGCGAGAAAGTTACGACATAAACATAATAAAAGATAATAAAATCCAAATCAGTGAAAACACTTACATCAATCAGTTGCTTGACCTCTTGTTTCTTGAGGTCGCTGCTAATCTTGGCGGCTAGTAACACGCAGGCGGCAGACACCAGCTTTCGGTTATTCTTGTTCAACCTCCCTTGCAGAACCAGCTTCTCAAAGTAAACAAAGGCCATCGCTATGGTAACTGGCTGTAGGCCACACTCCTCGCTCACCGAGCGCATCTCCCTTTTCAAACTGTGGTGCGAATTGAACCAATTTACAACATGCCCATAAAAAACAGCTTAAATATTAATCACATTTCAAGCTACTTTATTTCATTCACCCTTATATATACATGATGTTATGTGCTAAATTAAAAGATACGCCTGCATTTAGCATCGTTCCACTTATGCATCTTAAAACCAGGTGTAAACAGGGCCCAAGATACATAAAATATAACATTTCTGGCCAAAAACCAAAACGAATGCTCATAATAAAATTCTATTCATCTTGTCTAAAAATAAATAAAACATTAAAAATTAAGTTCATTTTAGGCATCACAATATTATAATGTACACTTGGATGGATATTCATTTTGAGATTTACAAAATGTGTTTTTAAAGATGAACATAAAATGTGCTGGTAAAGCAGATCTAAATGTAAAAATATGAGAAATGAGCATGCACAGTGAAATGTCCAATATCTAATAATGCTAACACACAAGAACTAAAAGTAACAACTCAGGCCATAAAAATGACTTTACCTTCTGATTTTGCTTAGTGTTAGCTTTATGTGAGGAAACTTCTCCTTGAACGTCTCATTCATGTCTTTCTTCAAGTCAGACGGTTTCACATACTCTATAACGGTTGTCTGGAGGGGACAAGGTGAATTATTATAGGTGTCAAAAGAATGTATGGCTTTTTATGGCTACTAAAACAATTATGGATGGGAGCATTCAACTTTTACAGCTAAAGCCTAGTCAGCTATTATACATAAGAGTTCATGCTTCATGCCTTTAGCTATGGTTAGAACATATTGAGCCCTAAGGGTTATCATATGACATGCTAATGTGATCTGATATGGGGTAATACATGCTGTAGTGCAATTCAAAAGTCCTTTCAAAGCCTTTTCATTGGTATCAGATTGCTAAATCAGTGTTGGTTCAGTTAAGAAACTTACCACATAAGATGCAAAAATTAACACTCGCTTGTGCTTCCCACAAGGCCACTGGGGGTCACTGAGTAAGTTGGGGTCATAGTCTGACAGCTCTTCCACACCTAGCAAGAGTTACAACATTAAACATGAATGGACTTTTTAAAAAGAAATTAATACTTTTATTCAGCAAAGCTTGAATAAATTGATCCACAAATTTCAACATTGATAAGTGGGCTGAAACGTTGGTAACATTATTGACAACTTCGACAATACAAAACATTTTTCGGAAAATATTTTTTTGTTGACGAATAGTCTTTTAATCGAAAGGCCTGCAATAACATGGTTTGAACAGCGGGACGCTGTAATGCAATACAGTTATGCATTGCAGCCTTCCCCGATGCAATCCAATTGAAGAAGACAAGGCGCTTCGAAGTGCAAACTAAGCCTAAGCATTAGAGTGTTTGACTCTGTTTGGAAAGTTCAAGGTGCTATATGTAACCTTTCTTCTAAAAATTAATCATTTTTTATTGCCAGTGTGTGAAGGGGTTGTAATCACACATTACAATGACTCACTTGTCGAGTTTTGCCATTACCTCTGAAGGCCAGTATTCCTATGTGAAGTTTCAGGGTCGAATTTTCTGCGAAATCCATCGGATATGACGTGCATGCGCGCTCCCGAGCCTCTCTCCGTCTTATATAGTCTATGCGACGGCACTTCAGCTGACGACATGGAGTCTGATAACACCAAAAAACGACCTGCCTCCAGCACAACACAGACTCTAACACAAACTCTAAATATATATAAAAATAAAACAAAAATGTATCTGCTGAAGCTCATCAGGCCAAACGGGAATTGGACCGACTCAGGACGAAAACACAGATCAACAACAGGAGAGTGTTTGAGTTATGGAGACCTCCACTATGTTTTAGATACATGAATAGTTAGTAAAATGCCTTATGCTAGATAACAACACATATCGGCTAAATGCAGTCAATGTAACGTTATCATGGTACGAGCATGGAGCATTAGTTTAACGTCAAGCTGACAAAAGTAGCCTATTTACTGTAGCGTTTGCAGTGGGAGTTTTCCAGCACGTGTGATGCTTTCTCCGGTGTGCTGAAAGTCTCAGATTGCGTGGCCGGTAGTGAGTGCTCGCTCTTGAGTTTGAACCATGGTTCGACCACGAGCGCTCTTGTTGCAATCTGAAACATCGCTGCTAAAAACTACATATAGCACCTTTAAACATTACGATTTTTTTTTTTTTAGAACCTGTCATATGGAGGGAATCTACACCCACACACCAGAATTTATCGAATCACAAGCTTATGAATAGATATCGAATCATGAAAATTGTCAATGCCCAGCCCTAATAAAAACACAGTACCAGTCATTGTAGCAGTTGGACAATTGATGACTTCTGAAGAGGATAGAAAACCTGAAGGAAATTGGTCTATTCAGTTTGCTTGAAGTTCATTAATAAGACATTTTAGGGGGGCATAAGACACTTTCAAAAACTGCATAGAGGCCTTTCTGACCCCAAACTTTTTAACGGTAGTGTAGATAAAAGTCCCCAATGAATAAACATAAAAATGCTATAATTAGCACATAATGTATCTGCACATGTAACTCACCAGTATCTTGTATAAGTGTGCTGTTGATTCGGGAAGGGGTGAAGCTCTTCTGCCCGTTGATACGGTTTCGAGACATTGCCGTCTGAGCTGTACTGATGTCAGGTGGGCCACTGTTCTTCTGCCTGACCAAGGCATTAGTTGGGAGCAGAAAAAGGGCATACGATACTGTCTGCAACACAAAATTCCAGGGCTATCAGAGCAAACAAACATTTACGTTGCGCAAAAATCTCACTGACCCAATACTGCACCTTGCACAATCAAGCTTTTGAAACACATATTGATACACCACCAAAAAAAAACAAGGTTTCTAATCCAAATAATCATGCCTTTTGCTCAATCTTAAAGGGATACTCGCACTTTTTTGGGATTTTCTGATATTTAGAAGAATATCAGTAACCAGACAGTTACTGGTCTAATTGACTTCCATAGAAGGAAAAAAAAATGAGACAGAAACGGCTGAATGGATTCGAAAATGGTAAAACTCAACTGTTTAACTCTGGGGGAGTTGTAAAATGAGAGTATTTCTAAAAAAGTGGAGTATCCGTTTAAAGTAATATATCCTCTCTTACCTTCCAAAGTCCACCTCCACTCCTCTAATCCAGGGACCATTTCAACTCCACCACCAGAAGAGTGTCTCTGTTTCTGAGCTTCTAGTTTGGAGTCACTGCAGAGAAAGATAAATTATTAACAGTCAGAATTTAATAACTTTTCTCTGCACTGAAACAATTTCTTTTCTTCCGATATTGAGATAAAGACTCCTCTGTCTCTTATTGCTTTTGCCTGATAAAAAAAAGACACTAGCGGAGCCTGTTAATATACCAGCAGACTGTTTATAGGCTGGTCTGTTTGTAAAATCATTCTTCATTTACAATTTATTATGGTTTCATTATATTAAAGCTTAGAATGATAATCTTTATGTTTTTTTCTTTTGTTTTTTTATAAATGCATACTCACAAAAACAACAAAAAATTGTATGAATGATGTGATTGGCCAGTGTATGACAGGTGGACAAATCACTGTGAGCTGGACTGCCAAAAGCAAAAACTAATCACTTCTAAAAATTGTGTTTGATCAATTTAATGCATGATTAAAAGGATTCATTTTATATACTTTTGTACGGTAGTATAGATTAGAATTATTTTAAAACTTTATACACTTTACACACTCAACACATTTTCTTTAATAAATAAATAATTTAGTCTTTTGTCCATTATATTCCATAGTCCAGGCTTTACTTAAAGAAAAAACAGTTGATTTGTCCATCCCTTGTGGATTTGCATGATATGAATTGAAATGAGTTGTTTGGCTGACTGTGGTGGCTCTGTACCTGATGTGATAACTCTCTCCATAGGGCAATACAGAGAAAGCAGCACACAGGGATCTCTTGGCACAGATCAGCACAACCCTGCAGGACACAGATGGCAAGTGCACACAGAACAGACAACATCAGTCACCTAAACCATCCCAGTACACCAGCCATGTTTACACCACACAAGTGCATATGGGTCACAACAACATGCAGGACAACGCAAATGGGAGATCATATGGACTTGGATATGACATTGGTGACAAAATGAGCCAACAAAAGTCTAGCCATTCTTCAACCACGCATCCAGAAATTGTCCATTTAAAGCAGCATGTAGCTTTCTATGTCAAAGTAGATTGGTCAGCATGACCAAATCTGATTACAACTAACTCTGTGACATTTCCCAGGAGGCTGAACGGCATCACAATTAACAGGTCAGCAGGTTGTGACATGGGTTATGTTCAATGAGGTCAAAGGGTCATTATAACATCACTGCTGATGTCATGAGGCTGGGGGTGAATGTGCACATGAGCGAAGGCATGATTTCATGGTTGATGATGTAATGCAACATTAAGCCAGGGGGTAAAACTGTGTATTGCATAATATACAAGATAATTTCAGAAAATAGCAATCCTTTTTCTTTTCTTTTTGAAATTGAATATCTTTGCACTTATCACTATGTGTTTAGTTTTTGTACTATGTTTGTTCTTTCTTTAACCTGTGTAAAATGAGCCACCAAATAATGTTGTGTATAAGTCATGTTATGGTCCAATAAAAAAAAAAGAAAGAAAAGAACACTTTGCTGATGCCAGAATACAAAAGTAATTGGGATTTACAGTTTACCAGAGGAGAAAAGCAAGTTAGAGGGAGGGAGAAAGAAAAGGAATCAGGGAGGGAGAGCGCTTTTAGAAGCATTTATTTATGCAACTGAGTTTCATTACATTTTAAAGTCTCTTGCCAAGTGTAGTTCTATTGCAGAAGATCTCAGCGATCTATAAGGTTCCATTCAAATTGATGATTTAATTTAGCTCGGTGTTCCCCGTGTAGGCAGACACATTCTACCCCCTATTTCTTCGGTCTAAGAACCTAAATGAGTTATTCCAGTGAGTACTTATGCCAGTTTATTAAGTTAGCGAAGGGAATTACAGAGTCCTGTCTGAAGCTGCACTGTTTCACTTAGCATGAGAGCACAGAATTATACAGCCTGAGGAAACAGTCCAGCATCCACTTTTTTTACATTCACCCTATCTGAACTTGAGTCATGGGAATTCAAAAAGTCAAAAAGAATAAAATTAAAATGATTACATTTTATTAAAAAATAAAAAATGCATTACAAAAAATTAAGTTAAGAAGCTGAAGTTCAGCAAAATTACAGAAGATTAATAAAAAAAATTAAATATCAAAATATACATAAAAAAATAACTTAACTTATTAACAAAGAAAGTTAAGAAGCTAAAGTTCAGCTAAATATTTCCTTGTCCCACCTAAAAATCTATTAAGTAAAATGAATAAGTAGTAATGTATTTGACACAATAATGATCATTAAATGGTAAATTGTCTTTACAATGTAAGCATCATACTATACTATATGCATGTTATTATCGGTTTTTAAACTCGGTCTCTGTCTTACCAGGGTCTACTTAGCTTCAAACGGATTCAACCCCTGGTCTAGACTGATGGACACCAAGATTTAGCCAAGTAAGACATGTTCATGAATCATATTTTGTTTAAGGAACAATATTTTTGTCTAAAAAATTTGTCCTAATCATAACATATTCCTAATATCAAAAGGAAAAGGTGAATAACACTGATGTAGAAGCACCTAACTCTGGTTGTATGTAAACCTAAACTTGAGATAAACTGTAAACTTGTCCCTCAAATCTGA